CTGGTTGTACTGGTAGTACTCGTTGCACTGGTTGCATTAGTAAAGGGTCTTATTTGTACGGGAGGTCATTAGTGTCAAAATTATGATAGTTGACACACATTAAACTGATAGTTACACCAAATTGATTAGATATTCATTAATAAAAGATCACGTGCACGTGCTACTAAGATCACATGACAAGTAAGCATGCCAATGATGCCATGTGTTGGTACATGATCCTGCTGGGGTTCTTGCTTGAGCTTTTGTTGATGTCTTGTAATCTGTTTTGTGATGGCTCACAGCAGCCACTTAAAGGAGTTGGTAGCTGCTACTAATGGTCTTCAAGAACAATTGAAGTGTGTAGTAGACAAACTTGAAGATAATGAAAGTAAATTTATTTTTTACACTTGTTTTTAAAGCAGCCTTTTTAGTAACTAGTGATGTTCAACCCAGTGCTAGTGATACTCAACCTAGTGCTAGTCTTGTTGCTAGTAAGCAAGAACCAGGTCCACATCCTGTTGTGTCAAGCTCTCAAATAAATTTATGGAGTCCAATTGCATTGTTACAAAAGAGGAGAGGTAGCACCGCCACTAATAAGGGAAGAAGACTAAACAATGTAAGTACCGACTTGGACCCACACTTTTGTCATGCTTCCTTGGTGAGGCCTTCAGTGCTTGTTTTATCTAGCCTCTTAACTCTCATTCTCATTGCCGGTCACTCACGGTAAATTTTAAATAAATAAATAATTGCTGATGCATGAATATAACAAACTGATTATTATAGTCTGCTTGATATAATATTATTACCTGTTTTGAACAGGTATAAAATTAACTCAAGTTGAAATTACAGACTGGATCAATACAATGAACTACGGCCTCATTGATTGTATTATGACTCAACTGATAGCGTCACTATCACCATAGATAAGAATCATTTAAGTCACTTAAATACTGTTTGTTGTCTTGGCCATCATGGAGTTTGCTAGCATCATATATACTGATGCTAGCGTAGATATCTTTGCTGCTTTCAGTCAGATCCATGGTCATTAACGCGTGGTCAGTACTTTAATCATTTCAGCTCCCTGTTTGTATCTGATCCGTCACTTGGTCCATAAATTAGTCTTTTTGTGTTCATGGGTCCGGTCCAGTCCACTTTCTGGGACAACCCTAGACAATGGAGGCTGGTTAGTAGCTGGTGCACGCCGCGCCGTAGTTATACAAGCACAGTAACTACAACTGACAGTTACATGAATACACGTTGGACTCAATTGAATGGTTGCTGGTTTGCTCTTGTTGATACTTTTGGCTAATAAGCATGTCCTTTCTCTTTATTTTTAAAGACTTTTCACTAATCAAGTGTGGTGCAGATGGCTTTGGAGGATACTGGTATTTCAGAAGGGCCTCCCTCACTTTAAAGCTGATACCAACTGAAGCAGATGTTGATAAGTACCCTCCTCCCTTATCACCACCTGTACTGGTACCTAGGCCCCTCCTTACCCGGCATATCAGGATAGCGGCAGGCAACCTTTACCCACAGGCCAACCTGAAATGCAGATCAGGCTAAATTGCAGATGGGTGTGGATCGACACGGGAATGCTCGCGGATCTGTGCTGAATTTCACAAATCTTTCTGCAAGAATGATATCTATGCATCAGGAGAAATTTTTATCACCTCTATTTGAATCTTTTAATTACTATAGTGTTTTATTGACAATTAGAGAGTTTCAATTAGGCTATAAAACTTCATTATAGGGTAGTTGCTAGTAATTTTCACAACAGATCTATATAAGCTATACAGTTTCTTTTATATATACAGTGTCTACTTGAGCTGGCCATAACTTTTTATATGAAGATATTTGTGTGAATGTGATCCATAACAATAACATTTTATAATGAATCCTTCAAGAAATAATTCATAGTTTTTTAATCGCACCGTCATATTATATCTTTAACACAAAAAACGCTTACAGCTAGTCATACACAAGATATTGCAGATTGTGAAATGGTTTTTACTTGTGAAAACGTTTCTGGTCATGAATCACCACTAAAAAGTGGAGAAATACAGTCTTCATTATAACGTTAATGACAATGACAGTAGTTAGCTGAATAATGATAGTAACGATATAAAATATAATAATTATAAGAGTCATGCAGTATGAATGATAATAATCAGAAAATAATAGTGATAAAGTAAAAAAACAAAGACTGAAATTCCCAGACCATGGTCCACTTTGCCTTTTATGTTGAACTTAGCGGTACAGACATGATAGGACTTTAAAATACCTTGACTCTTGACTGCATAGCGCACACTGAGCTGATGTTAAGTGTGTTAACTGCTGAATAGTTAGATCTAGTAATAGTAGTCTGTTTTCTCATTATCACAGGCAATGGTTGCATGTTTACACAAGGTAAAAGGAATAGCTCAAGAGGATTACATCAGTGTATCTGTTGGCTAACTGTCACAAAACACTAGCTATAGTATGTAATGAACAAAAATAATATTATCAACATAGTGATCATAATCAACTTACCTGCATGTACTGAAACTGCAAAGATAATAAAGTTCGTATCAAAGACTAAAATTTGGCCGATAAAATTCTCTCCTGATGTATAAATGTCATTCTTGCAGACAAATTCGTATAGTTTTCTAGTTGTTCCGTACTTCAATACAGATCCGTAAGTGTTGTTTTTTATCAGCTCTATTTGAGTCTTTGATAAAAACTTTATCATTTCAAGTTTACTGTTTTGTTACAGGTATAGGCTGCTTGTTATTCTTCTCTCAATTATTTTTTGTCAGTTAGATCTATAAGCTGATATAATTGTTGCAGTTTCTTTTTTATAGAATTATGCCACGGAGTCCTCTTGAGCAATTCCTCTTGTAAACATACAACCATTACCTGTAATAATTAAAGATCACAAGTTGAAATACCTCTCGCCAAACTGAGCACCTTGACTGCAGTTGCTCAGTTTATTCTATCTACATCCTTAAATTCAGTCTTGAGTTGCTATTTTCTCTGGTTATATACTGACATAAGTGTTTCTTGTGACTGCATGTAATGTAAGTTTAGGGTAATGAAAGAATACAAAGTAATTACACTGCATGAATGAGGCCACAACCACATCATTCATATGTGTCTAAGCCCTTCTATAACTTGTGAATACTTCACTTGATAAGGGATCTATATGAGTCGAATTGGTACTGTTAATGGCAATGTATGTATAAACAAACTTGAAACTTCATGACTTTTAATTGTATCACATCACTTTTAAATGCAATGGACAAAATTTTATAATCTATATGAAACTACCCTGAAATTTTTGTTATTCCTGGTAGGTGGGTAAGAAGCTTTCACAAACTGTTCATCTGCTAATAATTCGATAATTATTCTTTTTGATTAATGCTCACAATTTCAAAATAAAAACAGTATGCATTGAATTATTGTCTTAACCATCATTATCTCCACTTTTCTGTGGTGATGATTCATGATCAGAATCATTTTCATGTGGAAAACATTTCAGTCTGCAATACCTTGTGTATATGACTAGCTAGCTATCTACATAAAATTCAGAGCATTAATGTACAGTAGAGACAGTTATACCTTCAATTCTGGTGGTAATAAATCAAATTTTTTTTAAATTCCTATTCAATTTAAGTTTGAAAATTGCAGTTCATATGTCATCAGCAGTTTCCTATTGTGTTAAAGATATGACTTTGTCAGTAAAAACTAAGAATTTATTATATTCCTTGACAGATCCACTGTAAGATTTATGGTTCTGGATCACATTCACGCATAAATCATGATATAAAAAGTTACTCAAGTGCATACTGTGTTTAAAAAAAAACAAATTACTAAATCCACAGAACTATGTTTCACAGTATTATTGAAACAATAATCAGCTAGTATTTATTAAAATAGCAAAAATAATACTAGGCAGCAATAAAAATAAATTTTTTATTAAAGACTCAAAATGGAGCTGATAAAAATTCCCGCATAGATATTCTTGCAGACAGATCCTTAAAGTTTCAGTACAGATCCACAAGTGTTCCCGCATCGATCCGCCCCATCTGCATTTCAGCCTGATCATTGATACAGTAGTTTACAGGGATTGGAAACAGTCGGATAATTATTCATTGATGTGCATTACGAGTTAATTTGATTCAAAATGGCCACCCTATCGATGTTAAACTTACAAACCTTGTTTACTTCATATTTCTTGACCCTGTAGTATCACTGACAGTTGACAACAATTCTATAATGTAAAAACTAATAGTTCGAATGAAATAAAAGTTGCATGCATAGCGAGTTTATCAAAAGTAATCAATAAACGGCAGTATTCTTCACTTGCAGAAGCAGCCTTCCAAATATCCAAAGGACAAAAATAGTCACTTCATTGTAGCTCATTAGATTAGAGAAATTGTTATGGAACAATACTAATGCCACAGATTTTTGTCATTAGTCATAGTGAAGTTGCCATAGGGAGAAATTTCACCATAGGTCCCACTATTTTTGATGTCCTCAATAAAACACGGCTTATAATAAAATTAAGTAAAAAACACTCGGTACATTGGATAACAGTCACATCAATCTAGACATCTCAGCATAATAGCTGTTGTGGCATCAATGTAGAAGCTAGAGGGAGAAAAGATCTCAAATCATACTAAAATGGATTATTGCAAAGAGTACCATTTTATAGACCTTCGAAAAAGAGCTTCATGAACCTAAAGTTTTTCTAGAATGGGGATTACTCAAATCTTAGAGTCATTAGACAGATGATTTTCTCGAGTCTTTTCTGAAGAATATCCCTGGATATCTATTTTTAACCCGTAACACTCCTAGTTTTTTTGACAATTTTTGTGGCCTCATTGAAATGTTAAGAAAAGGATCACATGATACCGGGCCGTTTCCAATCCCTTTTGTATACTGTATCTATGGCCTGATCCACATTTGATCTGCGTGGATCCGCATTTTCAGGCTCGCCCCTCTTGAGGCTATCAGACATGCCAACCCGGATAGCAGAGAAGTACTCAATAATGCCCTGCCTGGACCATCATCCTCTAGTTTTGGGACACAATCCAGTGAGTTGACTAATAAACTGTGGGGCAATTATTTTGTAGTTTAATATTTAGTAATCTGTAACATTATGTGGCAACTATTTTTTTAATTTGAGGAGGTGGGCCTTAGGTTTAAAAAGCCCAACATCTACTAGGAAACTTTGTTGAAATCAAAAACAATTTTAGTTGCAGCATTTTCAGGCCTTGAAAGTTAACACACACCACAAAGTTTTCATAGTGAAAGTTGGACTTTAGGTCAGTGAAGATCTGAGGGCCAAGCTTAAAACTTGTCGTTTTAGATCAAAAAACTATGCTACTTTACTATTATGTAGGAAGTTGGGATCGTTTTAGTCAAGCATATATAGATGTTGTATCTTCCATCACAAGAGCAAAGCATCAAGATTCCATATTCAAGAGGAAGGGCTGTGACAGTAGCATTTCGTCAAAGAAAAGGAAGGTGTCCAGGTGGACACAATTTTATGTGCCTTGCAGAAAAAGACAGTGAAAGAGTGCCAACTACTGTTATAAAATGTGAAGCATTGGGCCTGTGATTCAAGCATATCACAATAGCCAATGTTGACTGCACCACAGAAGAGTTCCAGGAATTATTGTATCAGAATTTCACTAAGCTAAGAAAAACTGTGGGCTTCGAGCTGATGCGTTGCATCCCGTGTACAAGAGATCTCGAAGTCATCCCGTCTCCCTTTTGTCAGTCTCCACAACTTTTGCGTAGTAGGCTGGGTAGTGCAAGGATCTATATTAGGCCAATTCAGGCTAACATAAATATTGAATTTAGAATTGATGTACACCCAGCAGTGAGTTTTAGCATCATTGTTATTCATTTGTGTTTTGTAATATACTATGTGACTGAAGTTTTCTGGAAATGTACTAAAAGAATTCCATTTAATGAGGGTAAGGAAGCATGTGGCTGGTTGTAAAGGACTTCAGTAATTAAAAATGTTTAATTATACTGATAATTTTTGGTATGGTTGTTGATAATGATGTTGATGATTTTAGTGATCTAGATTCCTCACCAAGTTAATCACCATTGTACTCCGAGCACAATTCGCCTTTACAAAATGATACTGAAGTATGTTGCTTCTGGTTGGTAATTCTATTTGATTTTAAATTTAGGCTTGTGTCAATGATGTCGCAGTAACAGTAGAGCCTATTGTACTTGCCACGTTTGCGTAGGTGCAGTTGTGTTGTCATTCTGTCCTTCTGTCCACACAGTTTATTTGATTTTTAAAAAATATCTTTTTGTCCGAGCAGTCTAGAGCTATATTTCTTCTTTTAGCAACAGATAAAGTTGCTTTCTTTCATCTAGTTATGCTCTTATAGCATGCAGTGGCACCAAAAGCTGTGAACTGCTAAACCGGGGGACCTCTCTCCAAGTGAGAGTTCATGTTTCACTCTACAGAGCCGAAATTTGCTTCAGAGGTACAAAATGCCATTTAACAAAAAACTAAACGAAAGATTTTTCCTAACTTCATTGATTGTGAGTTACAGTTGCTCAAAGTTTGTGATTTAGCCCCCCTTTGAAAATTTTTCAGATGTCACGGGACAAATCAGGAGCAATCAAACTCACTCAGTGTCTTTTAAGTATTAGGGAAAATTTATTGCTTCAGACGCTAAAATAAATTTCAACTTTTCTTCTTTCTTCTACCCATGTGCCATATCATTTAGCTAGTTCTTGACCACGCCCATAGCTTATTTTACTTATCATTATAACTATGCAGTCAGTAATATTTTTTTCAAATTGCTTAAAATATCACAATACAAGTAACACATATCACTCCAGTGGATTCCAGTGGGCGAGTCCATTGCACCATGGTGCTTCATGGTTCCGTATGTGCTTCTGGTAGTGAAATTCAGAGCCACAATGTGTAAGTATTTTATGATTTTAAACTCTCAACTACTTATATCAACGCATAGAATTGCACCTATTACTGATACTCAAAGTAAAGAGTTTGAAAGCATCACCGAAATAGCTGAACACTTACAAGGACTCACTTCTACTGATGAACATGAGATATTTTCTCGCTGTTAGGAGAAGTGATGTGCTCTCATCAACTCTCTGCGGGATAGATAGAAGGGCATTTTTCCCCAATAAACTATTTGAAGTAATGCACACTATGTTAATAGTTATCATTTTTGCTCAGATTAGCTTTTTAGGACAGTAGGCACAGGATGGTGGTGGCCCAAGGAAGAAATTTTTTAGAGTACTTGCTATCAGCATGAAGGATACAATGTGTGGGGGGCGAAATGGATTATATGTATTTAGACATATGTATGAAATTCAGGTAAATATTTTGCACAAATATTTGTATGAAATTTATGGTTATAGTCAGTTCAAGTTGAGTTGTCACAGGAAGTAAATCAATTTTTGCATCATCAAAACGTCACTACTAGCCACACCCAGAAATGGTGGTAGAGTGCAAGCAAGCTCTTTCATTGAGTGTTTCTTCACCTCTAAGACTCTTTGTCATCTGTTTTATCCTTGCTTTGGATACTACTACTTTTAATTATCATTGGCTGGACCTTTTTCTGTTATAAAGTTGACAAAGACCTCGGATACGGAAGATATGAACCTAGATTGAGGATGATGAAGAATAACTAAAACCAAGAAGGCTGTAGACAGATGTAGCAGTATGTTTCCAGTAGCAAGGTCTGCTAGTTGAAATGCAAATCATATTCACGAGTGTGATGTAGCCTACACGTAATGATTCATCATGGCGACTCCCTTTGAACTAGAGTCGAAGAACCCATTCAGAACCTTCCAGAGTACCGAAAGACTCAGAAATTGGTACAGATTTTCTGAAAAACCCGTTTTGCAAGTATACTAAATTTCAGGTTGCTAGCATTAGTGATTTAAAAAATTATAAGGGGTGGTACTTGGGCAACTCAACTTGAACCGACTATAATTAATATTAAACAGACTAATAAATTTTTGAAGACTGGAATGCTTTTAGTGATGTTGGTAGCTCAGGGTGGTGGGGGTATCCTTTCTTTGCCAAGTGTGTTTTTGATGATGTCTGTGGCGACGATATTTCTAAGTTAGAGGTGGATATTGGTACTGTTGGAGATGAGGAGGCATAGACGTTGTTACAAAAAGTATTTATTATTGATTTAAGGTACTTTTGGATGAAATTTTACTATATTTTTAATTGCTGCCATTTTATAGTAATGAAAAAGTTGTACAACTTGTGCTACTTTTAAATTTTTACCATGCACTGTTTAGAAGTTATAGATCATTGAACTTTAAATATTAAAAAAAATTCCTGCATAACTTTTCATTCTTTATACGCCATCTTTGATCTTGTGCAATTTCTGGATACCTCTGCATATTATAAAACTGGCAGGAAAAATTAATTGCGAGGTAGGGTTAAGCTATGATGTCTTATTAGTGAAACCATTAATAAAAATGGCCACCAGTATGTATTTACTGACTATTGTTTATTTAGCTGTTTCATCTGGTGAATGCAGGCTCTATGAAGCTCTAAAGCTTGCAATCATGGCATAATGAAGGCAAACACTCAATCAAGTTTGTATGCAGTAAATGCTTTTGTGATGCACCGATGTTTAAAAGTCAACAAAACTTATGAGAGATTGCAGCCCATTTTGCGAAACTTAAAAAACTTTTGCCAAATGATGCAACATATGTCAATAGAAAATGATATTATAAACACGATGATATGTGAACATAATTGACAAAAGGTACCTTATGGCGGATAGGAAAATTTGTCTTTATAGCCTAAAAAATCCAACTTCCTGAGCTCCATTTATCATGAAATTACTCCAGAGGATGCAAAAAGTTACTATATAACTTTTAGAAACAATTGTTGACCAGCAGAGCACTCACAGGTTGTTATTTTTTATTATAATGATGAGTTTTAAAATCCATCATAAGGTACCTTTTGTCAATTATGGTCACATATTACTAAAAATTAAAGTACTCTCATCATGTTCAAGAATTCTTCACTCAGTTTTCATTCATTTTACAAAGTTTAGTAAAGCTTATTGGATCTCACTATTGAGAAAAAAAATTGAAAATATTATATATTGTAGAAAAAGTATAAAGAAAACAATTTGTGTCCAGAAATCTAAATTGTGCGTTCAGCCCGTTGTACCTTAATTTCATATTCCCGATCTTTTAGATTGAAATGGAACAAGATAATAAATCATTGCAACAGGTATTAATGGAGTCATATGATAGAAATTGCTAATGCTGGCTACACCAAGCTGATCGCCTCTCTGTCCACACAAGACAAGAAAGATATTCAAAGAGCAATTGCTCTACAATACACTATACTACAGTGTATAACTGAACTAGAACAGTTTAAACATGGATTGTCTTCCATGCAATATCTAGATATTGTTGGAGCTAATCGAGAGGCACCCAGAGGCAGATCTAGGGGGGTTCCATGGGTTCCATGGAACCCCCCCTTGGAGAAAAAAAATCTCAATACTTTTTAAATGATATTTATGTGATAATATACAGTTTAGTGCTGGGCGATATATCAAAACTCACGATATTTAATCGATATAATGCGGTATCGATACTTATCAATATCAAAAAAATTTGAAGAAAATATCGATAACGAGGCCACGCCCACAAAATGGTGACATAACCTTAATAAATGGTTAATTAACTATAGGAGTAACATCTCGAAAATTACTAAAATGTATTTTCTTGGAAAGTAGATGAAGTAGCTGAAGTATATGAAGCCAAAGAAGGTTTTTAATGCTTTTCAATAATAATTGTTCTCAGAAATAGCTTTATTTAGCAATTTTAGTAATATTAAAGTTAATGGGTGTGGCTTAATAACTTATCGATAAAAAATATCGATATCCTCATTTTTAAGCAATATCGTATCATATCGTATCGTTTCAAAATTTTCAATATCGCCTAGCACTAATACAGTTATCACCTCTAATCTTTGCAAATTCTAATGACAGAGACATCTGAGAGAGTTCAAATAAAATAGCTAGTGTATTATAGATCGATAGTCTTCTTAGTCAAGCAGCCAAATGGACTTGTTTTAATTACAGCATGCACCACCTAGCTATTATAGCAGCACACATGTTTCTGGTTAATGGTCCTCAAGGAAGTCAATTACTTCAATTACAAGCTACTTTTCTAAAAGAAATTGACTGTAGATGACTTTGCATAGTTACATCCTACGAGAATGGCCTTTTCCTTCATGTTGGGAGATAATTAAGCAGATTAGCTACACTAATATAATAAAAGTAATGTTTATGGTTATCAATAAAATGCCTTTTATCTGAAAATCACGTCACATGGCCGCGCAAAAAAGGGGGTGTGGCCATAAATTGGCGCACTTCGCACACCATTGTCACCCCCCTTTTTATTTTCTAGATCTACCTCTAGTACATCTTCCGTTTGTTATCAAAAGAAACGAGAAAATGACTGCAAGTAATTTGCTTTTTGTGACACTTGATTATCTCTTTTTGATAAACAAAATTCAAGACTTGC